ACATGTAAACTCAGTCTTGGGTGACCTCAATTCTAACAATTGTACATGGATGGGTATTTCAGTTATTTCCTTTAAGAAGATTAACATAAAGACTTTTGGGAGTTGACCGCATTCTAATTCAATGATTATCTTGAGACTTGATTATATTCCTATTTAATTATTTGACGTAGATTTCAATTCATTTATTAAAGCTTGTGGATTTAAATATATCTCTTTTTAAATTTAGTTATGCTGTATTTGATAATTGAATGTCAACTATTTCTTTTGAGTTTTATTAATTTATTGTCAACAAGGGTAGCTAATGTAGGCAAACCCACTAGTACGCTTGATGCTACCAATAGGGGTGAACATAAGTCAAGTGGCACGTGGCTTATGGTCAGACTTGTATTATTTGGCCTAACTTAACCTGACCTGTTTAAACATAAGAGAAGGCTCATGTTTTTTTAAAAACATGTTTCCCTTAACAAGTCAGGCTTAGACTCTCTAAGAAGCCTATTAAACCTGTTAGCTAGGCCGACCTAAGTCTATTATAAATTTACAATATTATGTAAAATTGTGTATTTGGTGTGGTCTTGTTTATTGATTAGATTATATCATATTTTATGTTTCATTTAAAATAATTTGGATTGAGTTATTATATTTTTTTATTGATTTGTGTAAGTATGACATAGTTTTGACCTATTCAAAGGCAACTTGTTGTTTGTATCCAAAGACAGGATCAATATTTCTTTGTATTTGTAATTATCATTTCATTCTTTGTATCCAAAGATAGGATCAATATTTTTCATTTGCATTTGTAATTATTAATATTTTCCAAACAAAAAAAATGTTGTTATCGTTTTAGGTTAAAAGCTAATAAAATTATAATTTGACTATAAAATCAAATACGTTTTCAAAGTCTTAATATGGAGGTCATTAACTATATTTTACTCTTGAAGGTATAATATAATTACAAAAGGGAGAATTAGTCTCCCAGTCCTTCTAAAATTAGCGATTTTTGAATCAGGACCTTCCTTTTTTTTTTTTTTTTAATGAAATCCTTTATGTGTGCCTAGTTATATATGTTAGTCCTTCCATCCATAAAATGTGAATATTTCGTTACTTTGAATTGACGCAGGTGATGTGGTGCTGACTGAGCTAATCTTCTTCCCCACCGTCGCTGACTCTCTCAGACAAGGATGCTCTATATTTCCCACCCAGCCCAACCCAACCGTTCTGAAGCAAACACATTCAAAACCCAGCCATGTTCAAATCCAACGACACAACTTTTGCACAATAATTTAGCTATGAGATTTATAAACAAAAATCTTCATTGATCGCCTTAAGTTTCTCCATCTGAAGCATGTTCAAATTGAAAATAACAGCAACTGAGGGAAGGCAAGTCTTGGTGGTTCACGAGCCTATGAGAACAATGGCGAAGTGGAGATGTTGATGAGAATTGGACTCCCTGGGTCGAATGCTATAAAATTTCTCTCCTGGCCAAGGTCACACATGCTGGTTATAGCAATTCAGACCTTGCATATAATTCCATTGGCTTTATTTGGGTGGAAAAGACCATTCATAGGGACCATGTGCAATCGTGATTTCTTCTCACCGAATAATCCCTTTATAATGGCAATCGATGGTAAGAATTTCTTTATCCTTGCAAGAACAGAGTGGGTGCAAAAGAAGTATGGGAAAACATCTTTCTTCACACAGAAAGTCAACACGAGTGGGGAAGAAGATTAGCCTAATCAGTGCCACATCACCTCTGTCAATTCAAAGTAACAGAATATTCGTGTTTTACGGATAGAAGGACTATCACATGTAACTGGGCAAACATAAAAAATTTCATTAAAAAAAAAATAGAAGGACTTGATTTCAAAATAGCTGATTTTACAAGGATTAGGAGATTAATTCTCCCCTTACAAAATTCACAAAAAAATTTTGGATGAGTTGAGAAATATAAAGACAAACAGTTCATAAAATATCAAGAATAAACTGAGTTTATTTTGCACTTAAACGTTTAATTAAACACCAAATTCATAAAATAACATTTAATGTAAAATATTTTTTAGAATTAAATTTAAACCATCAATAACCTTATAACCTAATAGGTCTTTTTAACGTACTTCAAGCTAGCCCAAGTCGGGTCAGGCTTAGGCATAAATAAAAGCTTATGACATATCATAGGTCAAGTTCAAACCAACTTGCTACCAGTTAAGTCTGACCTCTTATGTCCCGTTTGGTATGAAGCATTGAAAATGAGGGATTGGGATTGGGATTACAATTGAAAAAAATTATTAAAATAGTACTTAACATGAGTAATTGTTTGTTATATGGGATTAGGCAAACCCATAAAGGTGGGATTGGGGAATACCACTTCCCCTCATGGTATTCTCCAATCCCACATATATGGCTTTAGCTAATTCCATATATCAAACAATCTCTTATAATAAACACTCTCTTAATAGATTTTTTCAATTGTAATTCCAATCTCAATCTCTCATTTTCAATACTTCCTACCAAACGCAACCTAGCCTAGTACAGCTTGTTTTTACCCCTTGCAACTAATGTTAGCATCCTCTCTAATGCCTCTTATTAAACTAAGCCATAATGAATGGTGTTGACTAAATTACAATCCCTAAAAAATAAAATGTAAATTAAATTTACGGTTTATAAGTTTACCCCTTTGTTTTTTTCATAAGAGACAACTATCCAAGTTACGATAATCAAAATGCTAGTTAAAATTAGTTGATGACAATAAATGTGTTAAAAGTATAACTTTTTTGCCAAAAATACTCTCATTATGTGGAAGAGAGGTACCGTGTGAGAGAAAAAATGTGAGATTTAAATGCAATAATATGAGTAATATGAGTAATTAAATGAGGTAAAATGAAAAATTAACAAACAAAGTTTGAGACAACCTCTATGTGTCTTTTATAAAAAAAAAAGAACATGAAATTGGTCTCTTATAATAAGCAATAGAGGGATATTTTTCTTCTCAAAATTGGGAACTTTAACAGCAGAACTACATAAAGTTGCAAAGGACATTAATCCCAAATTGTCTCTACATATTAGAAGACCTTAGTTATTTTGCTTTTAAAATAAAATTTAATCTTTACGATACAATCGGTAAGTGCGATCCTAGTTATTCATTATAACGTCTTTAAAAACTTTTTGTGATAGCCATTTCGGTCCATGAAAATTAATTGTCTTTTCTTTTCATTTTTAAAATACATCATTTTTAATTTATTCAATATTTAATTAATCATGATATTTCCTGCTCTCTACTGTTATGACTTAGTTGATAGATGTGGTTTGATACTAAAAATAATATTTTAATCTAATTTATCTTTCTTATTTAATATTTTTCGCATATTTTCCTTATTAATTTTCATTGCTCAAAAAACCAAACTAGACTGACAGTTCGGGCCGAAAACAGGTTAGTTTGTCAGTCTGTTTCATCACTTGAACCAGGAAAAAATCAAACAAGTACCGATCAGACTTGTTTAGTCCCAACCAGGGGTAAACTCGTAAACCGTTGGTTTAAGTGGATTATTTGGTTCAATATTTTTCATCGCTCACAACATGGAAGAATTCTAAAAAATAAAAATAAAGACAAGTTGATTGAAAAACGGAGAAAGAGGGAGAGATACATAAAATTACCAACTCTACAAGAGAACTCTTGAAACATCATGGTGAAAAACAAAGTGAAAAGGTTCTTTAAGAGGGTTTTCATGGAAGGAGGAAAATATGTTTCAAGAGGCAAAAAGTTTTTTTGTGTAAGAAAAAGATGGAAAAATAAACCGAAGTGAGAACAAAGACCTACGACGAGACCCAATGCTAGAGATTCAAAACTTTAAAAATGAACAGATCGGAATGGCATGAATGACAACTCTACTTCTTTTTCCCCTCCCCCTCATTTTCCAAAGCTATCCGGTAGACGGTAGTCATTCATTTCCTATGCAAACATTTATTTATGTTTGAAAAAATCACAAACAAATATCTTTAAAATAAAAAAATTATAAATAGGAACCCATTACAATATTAGTACTACCCGTGACAATAACTAATAAGTAAATTATACCAATTTTGTTGATCAGGTCCCTGTATGCAAGTTTTTAATTTTGAAGGTCTTTTCTTTGTGACTTTTCCTTTATGTTTAATACTCTATTTCTTTTTCTTTCTTACTGTTTTCTAGGAGGGATATATTATTTCTTTATTGTAATTATAATGTATATTAAACTGTTTTAAATATTATTTTCGGATCACCCCGATTTAACTTATTATCTCAAAACTGGTTTAATGACTGATCTGGTTTTTTTTAACCTTATTAATTTCACGGCTCTTCTCACTCCGTGTTCTCTCACATTTAGTATTCTCATCAAAAGAGAAGTATTTTGAAGAGACAATTTATACACAAATTATAATCATAACAAATAATCAACCCAACCGATTTTCTTAATTCTTGTGAATTAATTAATTAGCTGGCAAAATCTTAGCCAACACAATTTATGCAAAATCCATTACTTTTTTTTTTTTTGGGAAAAAGATCAAAATGATGATATATTAAAAATGAAAGATTTACAAACTAAAGCTAACAAAATCCATTGTTCTAGGGCTATCTCATTGTTTTTTTTTTTTTTTAAATACATTCTTTGTTTATCGATACACCAGGGGCTGTCTCATTGTTGGAATACTGGAATCCAACGAGTTAAAGTCATTTCTGAGTATATGCCCATTAGTTTGGTTGAGGGATACCCATGAAGAGACCATCCCCTTGATGATATTTTGCAAGAGTTCTTATTAGTAGAGTTTGTTCTGCAAATTTTATCCTCATATATAGGGACCATACTAGACTTGTAGATAGATTAGTTGAATATGCTGTCACCTAATGATATGAAAACTTCTATGAGGGAAAAAAGAACATTGATGGTGATAAACATTAAACAATATGACTTCCAACTGTATAAATAATGATGATACGATGATTCCGTTGGCCTTTAAAAAACAAATAATAAATCAAAAGGTGGGCAATGAAATTCCACAATGCCCTCATTTGAATTGCATTATAATTTAGACGTATCCACTGCATCTTTTTACACTAGCCATCAGCAGAGTACAATCAACTTTAAAAAAAAAAAAATTAAAAGGAAAAAGGGAAAAAGGAAAATAAAAGGCCTTAAGCTTCACATTCTGCTGGTGGCAGCAGAAAATACCTACTAGATAGGATGGTTTGTTCTTAACATATTTTGCTTTTTAAGAGAAGGATTGAATGAGTGTTATATCAGCTTTTAAGTGAATTTAGGCGTCTGAACCTCTCATCGAGTTCCTTCATCACTTCAGGTTCCTGTTTCTTCCTTTGCTTTGATATTGTGTTGCTTGTCATTGAGCCTATCTTCTCAAATGCCACCTGCATCCACACACACACAATTAACAAAAACTTTTATATGCTTCATTTCAACTGAGGAGAAACACGTTCAACTGCACAACAATTGAGATATTAATATTCATTATGCATATATTATCATTACTCAGCAATAGTTATTTTCTCCATTACTTTTTCATCCAAAGACATTTCAAATCTAAAGAATCACTTTTTTCATTCAATTTCATTTTCCATTTATGCATTCTAAGCGTCTATGTTTGGAGGACAATAGGAAGAGGATGCAAAGATATTAAATTAAATCTAGATCTTCTCTCATGCAGAGATATCTATTATTTTTTTTAATTATTGGATAAATGTTATATTCTTATTATAACTAAATCTAAATCTTCTCTCATGACAAATTATGCTAGAAATAAAGATACATTCTTTGGTTCCTTTTGTGTCTGTTGTAAGTATTTTGATCTACTAACAGAACAGTCCTCTATTTTTTCTTTTTTTTTGGGGGGGGGGCTCATGAAGCAATATGAAGGGATGGGTCCTACCCCTTTTATCCTGTCTCTCCCCACAATCATCCAATAGTGTTTATTTAATTTAATTTTTCTCATGTAGCGTCACACTCGCGAGTCATTTCTTACCACGAATGGTAAAGTCAAGGCACAATCCATGTAAGACTGTGATGTCATCCAGCATTTTCTTTTTCTTTTCCTTTTTTTTTCACGCTCTAAATGAGTTTTGAAACACTGCAAAATTCTAAGATGAACTGGATTTATAAGAGATGGATAGAATTGGTCAATTATTGACAAATACGTAAACTCGGAATGTTAGAAATAAATCTCATTAAAATGTGTCTGTGAACTGCTTGCATATCTTCTTCATGACTTGCCAGATCTAAACTATCAGTAGTCTACTAGAGACCAAACCACCCAAAAATCATTGAATCAACCCCATTTTCATCAAACCCAGCACAAGAAACAGAGTAGTGCTTTGCTGACAGCCATAACAACAATTCTAGTCCATTCCTGTCAATATATTGATTATGCGTATGTGTGCGTGCACGTGTTTTTTTCATTCTTCTCAGATATTGAGACGTCTTAGATACTAGAGCAACTTTTAGGCATTTAATTTGAAAAATTCCATTCACAAATAATTCCACACATTTCAGTGAGAAACTCGATTCCAAGTTGTATGCTATTAGTACTACAAAATGAAGTAACAACAAAAACACTACTGTTGAGACGATTTATTTTGCGGCTAATTAGAGAAAGTATATAATCCATAGGAAGAAGATATCTAGCATAAGCAAAAAATTATCGGAAATGCCACACCTGCTAAAGTGTCAAAATAGGATGAAATATATAGCATTTACAGATGATTTTAATATAATGTGTCGTATTTAAGACAAGTTTCGTATATGTATTGGTCAAGTATGGGTCTGTATTTAAGCAATATAACGTCAAATAGAACAGAAAAGGAATTGGTCTTACTGTCAGCAAATCATCAGGATCAAATAGGTGATGAGTGGTCCTCTGCAGAATATTTATTACTTCACCTACATGACGAGTTAGAAGCAACTCACCTTCCTTCATCTGCAGTTAGAGGTTACAACAGTTCAAACATCCCCTAAACTGTCATACTAATGAGTAAGAATCCACAACCAAGAAAGAACATATGGGCTAGACTTATTACCTTGAAGATTGCCAAAGCCACATTAAATATAACTTTGGCCCCCTCATAGAAAAGGACATCCCAAACTCGCAGCGTTGTCTGATTAAGCAACCCCAAGAAGAATTATCAATAACAACAGAACACTGAATAGGGAGAAACCATATTTTTGCCCTAAAATCAAGGCCAGACTACAAAATTTCAACACGAACACTAGAAAGCAGTATAGCACTTCTCTGAACTTTAGAAGTCAAAACACATGATGTGCATATCAACAGTATGTGAAAATTGTTGGAGTGAAGAAACTGTTTGTTGTAGTTATTTTTCATAGCAATTTAAGGTTTTCATTTTAGTCCAAATTTCAAGAAAGTGTTTTATTACCTTTTAAAGTTTATGTACCACCTCCATTCCTAAATATAAGATTTAGTTTGCAGTGCAAATTGCATTACAAACTAGATCTTGCATTTAGGACCGGACATAGTATTACTTTCACCTAATCTTTAGTTCAAATAGGGATAATGTAATTTCTCCATCTAACAATTTAATGAATTGATATTGCAGCAGCATCATTTCTAACCTCTGACGGCAAGCTCTTTGAAAAGAGGCAAAGGAACCACTCAGTGGCAACAAGGGAGACATCAAAGTCCATAGATTCTAGATGACTTGCTATCCTGCATTTTTCCTTTGATTTTTAGGTGCTACTGATTAAGAAGCAATTACATTGCAAACATCAATGTTTTTGAATTGAAATACCTTGGGCATTTCTTAGCTAGTAAGTCTTTGAACACTCTTTGTTCAACATGGCATCCTGATAAGTTATTTGTGTAGCAGTCATTAACCAAGACATTTTCCAACAGGACAGCTAGCATCCAGAACGCCTCTTCCTCAGTCTTCATGACAAGTAACAACAATGCTGCAACATAGTTCAACCCCTGGATTGATAGCAATTTAGTGCAAGAAACAAAGAAGATTTATTATCTGTGATTCATAAACCTAAAATATCATTGAAATCTATAGTTACTCAAATGTAATAGGACACAAATGAATCCATGTTTATTCACAATGCGATTACCTGGTAAATAGTGTTCCTGTTATTATTCATGAAGGGATTTTAGCATCTACTTCACACAAAAATAATAAAAAATTGGAGAAACAATAATTCTTGGACAGAAAACATCATCAGAGACACATTATCTTTATTTAAGAATCAGCATATAGTCCAAACATGAATATATAAAAAATTTTGTCTCCAAAACAGAAAGAGCAATCAGAAGAAAACAGCACTTAATAAGAAGAGGAAGAACGTGGAAGCAAATTCACCTGACAATACCCTACATCAGAATCACGGAAAGAGTAGCCAACAAGAACTCGCCTAAGAGCAGCATGCCCCTCTGGTGTGTCCAACCATGGGTGACCAGGGAAGGTCCGCGGTAGGTCCTGTACTCATGCAAATAGAATGACTGTAAGAAAAATAAGACACATAGCAAGTATAGTTATATATTTTACGTGCAGACACATTTGCTACCTTGATAACGGCCCCTTATACAAACCTATAAAGTTCACAAAGCTGGGTAAAATGCAGTAACATCCCAAACACATGACAAAGGAAAATATAAAAGCCACAAACAAATTTGATTACCATTCTTCAAAAGGGGGAAAAAAAAAAAAACTAATGACAACACATTCTTAAGACTTTCTAATGTCAACTGGATAATAATCAGAACGTCATCTAAGATACAGATGGCCCCAGCCAAGTTCACATTCTCGAACGTATGTATGCCTACTACATGAGCTAACAGATCCCCCAACAATGATGTTTAGGGGAAAAAAAATATATTACGCATATTTGCTTCAACTCTTGAAGGTCTTTCTACGCATCGGTGAAAATTTTGAATAAAAGGATATCAATGATAACCAGACCCATAGGTCCATCAGAATTTGCAAGAAGGTGGATCTGAGCCTCAGCATAAAAATGACAAGACGGATAATGCAAATTTGACGAGAATTCTGATCTGAATGAAATCTTCTGTCAGACCAAAGCATGTTCCTAAAAAATTGAAAAAGATCCGCATATATGCAAATTCAAGTCATTAATGACGAAATCCAGCCAGAAAGGCCAAACCCGACAATCAATTTATGGAACTAGTAATAGGAACACATATCAATCTTACGATTATCACAGTTATCAGCAGTACTCACTTGATCTATTTGTCGAGTAGCTGCAGTGACCTTGCCCTCCGTGGCCTTTGTTAGATCATCATAATAGCTCTCAGGTACCGTAGACTTCTTCTTAGCCGCCCCTGACAAGGAAAACCAGACCTTAGGCCGAAGAACCGGAGGGATTCCTTGCCTAATTAACTTCTTCAGGGTGATGGCATTTGTGAGTGCAGAAAGTTTCAAGGAAGACTTGAGGGCACTGCCGGTGCCCCCCTCGCCTAAAGCACAATGCAAATACCAATTTGCACCTTTGCTAGCTTCCAATGCCCACCATACTCGATTCCTTTCTCTCACCTTCTCTCTCACCTCGTTTAACACATTGACATCATCTACATTCCCTTCTACAGTGAACCCATAAAGGTCTTGGAATTTTACAGTGAGATTTGCCCTTCTGGAATGGATGCTAGGCCTCAGAACTGGAATTTGGGCTTGGTATTCCAGTGCGAGGTCTATTTTGCTTTGAGTTCCATACATTTTCCTGAGCGGTACAATGATAAATCAAGAAAAAAGGACAGAGAGTGTGAGAAAGAGGGAGGGAGCGAGCGAGCGAGCGAGAGAGGGTTGAGGGATTGAGACAGAAGCAAAATTGCGTCGGAAGGACCTTGTCAAATAAGAAAAATTCTACCGATATGAAACCATGAAATGGTCTCTACGCAGACCTTAATGAATGCTTACTTAGGATTAGGATTAGGTAAAGAGAGGCTGCAAAAATTAAAAAAGTAAAAAATCGTCCTCCTAATAATGGTCTAACAAGAAATGATGAAAGAAATGTGGATTTCAAAATTTGTAGCAAAAGAAGATCAAAACTCTAGCGCCATTACAACGCTCGGAAGAGCTCTAATCTCTGCTACAAGGCCATAAATCAGAATAAAAAGTCCAAACTCAGAGGAAAAGATGAGAAGCGAAACCCAGAAAACAGGCGCTGAACATCAATGTGATATCTGGAGAGAAGAAAATGGGAATTCTGTTCAGGATTTCTGATTCATAAAATTAAAGAGGGAAAGGCAAAGAAAGGATTTTTAATTCCAGCGAAGGAAATGACGGTGGAAACAACACACTGAGGCAAGAATATCGTTCCGATTATAGACGGGACACCGAAGCTTAGGATAATGATTAAACAGGAGGGGGAAAAATAGGCGGTGGATGATAGATACGCTTGGCTAGTTGGCTCCAGTACAAATCAAGAAATGTAGTCAAAACATTTTCTGTGGTTTGATTTTCGTGGCGATTTAAATTTAAAATCAAAATTAAATGAAATTGTGGCCCGTTGAATAAAAAGCTTCATCAATCAATAACAATCACGCTATGGGAAATAGTGGCTCGTAGGTCAATGGCTTGATATAGAATAACATCAGAACGGAAATGACTATAATCTCCTCGAACTTTTTGTTCAGTTTGGTAGATGGCTAATGTCTCCTTTCTTGCAATTATGTATATTATATGTATATCCCCCCAAAGAAAAAATGGCTAAGATATTTGAGGGAAAATTTTAAAACTTAAACTAAAAACACTTGGTTAAATCCATATAAGTTAAAATTTGTAACAGTACCAGTTGACAAAAAAATTTGCAACAGTACCCATTATTCATAAAATTGTTATTCTTATAGCAAAAAGTTTAAGAAAAAAGGTGCTGAATTACATTGTCTTAATGTTTTTAAATAGATATTTGGAGCTTTAATTGATAAATTTAAAAAGTATTAAATGCCAAATTAATTATTTTTGTTTTTTATTTCTATATTTTGGAGGGGAAAAATGTAAAACTAATTTGATATAACTTAATCTAGAGGTATCATTTATAATTTAAGAAACAAAGGATTTTGAAAGGGAGGTCCAATTCTCACCAATTGGCAGCCAAAGTGATCGTTTGGAAGAAGAGCAACATGTGTGGTGAAGTAGCATGATTATGTAATTATGTAATTATATAACATAATTATGTAATCTTTTGGTATAATATGCCATGATTAATTTCATAAATTGATGAATATTGAAAACAGCCATTGTTTTAGAATTGTTGAGACCTTTATCATTTTAAATTTTTGGGGCATATTTGCACCCAAAAAAACTTTCCAATGTTCAGCACTCCTAAGTGAAGAAAGTGAAAACTTTCAAGGCATATTTACACTTTAACTTACTAGATAGCACCTGGATTCATTACTATGAAAACATCATTTACATCCCTTATTTTCGTCTGTTCATTAAAAACAAAAGAAAAAAGTTCATCTTCTCATCTGTTTAAGTCAAATAGATGAAAATATGGGACTATACTCGTTTGTTATCCAAATATATGGTATACTCGTCTGTTTTGGTCAATAGAAGAGTATGATTGTCACATACTCATCTATTATCCAAAACAGACGAGTATATATATGGTATACTCATCTATTTTGGTCAACAGACGAGTATAATTATCACTTACTCGTCTGTTATCCTTAAAATAGATGAGCATGGCTTTCTTCTGATATATCCCCTAGTCCTTGATATAGGATCTAATTATTAAATTAATTTTTATTCTAAATATAAGACTTATTTTTCATATTTATTAATTTTTTCTAAAGTACCCATATGGATACTCTATCAACCATAATTAAGTAAAAAAAGGAGGGAAGATATTAAAAAGGATAATTATGGTGTTGCAGAAAAAAGATGTCAGATTTTTTATAATTAACTAACTTTCTTAATTTAATCAAATTAGTTAAATAAGTCTTATGTTAAGGAGCGGAGAAGTATATATATGTTCAGAATCCTAAAAGTTGCAACTGTGACTCCATTTTTACTACCCGCCGCAAGCTCACTTTTTCTATTTTCATTGTTTTGTTTCTCCATTGGTCACATTGCTCTCCACTTTTCTGCCGCATCACATGTTGCTTTCTACTTCTCCATCCTGTCTTCTTCGTTATTGGATGCCCCTTCTCTCCATGGGTTCATATTTACTAGGTTGAGTTGTTTTCCCCCACTAATATTTTATAAATTCTTTGTTGCCACCAATTTGTGATTTATCCCTATTTCTCCATCAATTTCACATCTTTCCCTCTTTTTCATGGCTAATCTACTAAGAAGTTTAGTGAAGCTTTTGTAGAGTTGGTTTGTGGCTAGACCCCTCTTCCTCTAGAGCAATATGGGGGAACTTTTGTTGGATGGAAAAATTATTTGCAAGTCAATGTTTTGGGCCTTTCCCATTTTATCTGTCATTATTTTATATCTAATATAGCTCACTCAAAATAGCACTACTTCTATTTGGACTAACCGTTGAAGGGGAAAGAAATATAAGTATTTTCATATTATTGTTAATTGAGAGTAACTGTGAACTACATTCATTGTCTTCAAAAGCTGAATGGCAGCTAGACCTCTGATGAATTTGAATTAGCTCAAATGGCTCTAGCACATTTTCAAGACATTTATCAGGATAGGAATCCAGTCCCATTTGATCAAATCATTTTAGGTCTTTAGAATATCCTCATCCAAATTATTTCAGAATCAAATTAAGAGATTCTCATAAAACCCATCTTAATGTTAGAAGTTAAAAATGCTTGCTTCAACCTTTCAAAGAATAGTGTCCCTAGTTAGGATGGCTTCAATACTCACTTTTTCCAATCTTATAATGACATAATTAAAGAGGATATTTTTGAATTTGCTTAAACAAAACTAAGATAATTTTAATCCCTGAAACTTAAGAGCCTCAATCCTTTAAAGGCTTTTGGCTTAATAGCTTCCACAATGTTATGCATAAGATCTTTTCTAAGGTTGTCAACAATAAATTGAAGAGCATTTTGGATAGTATCATTGCTCCTCACTAATGTGACTTCATTAAAAGCTACCCTATATCTAATAATATACTTTTGGCTATTGATCTCATGTCTCAAATCCACACTTATCATACAGGGAGGAAAAAGCATGCAGCCATCAAGGTAGACTTTCCTAAGGGCTTTGGTAAATTTTCCTGGAAAACATATCAGCTTCCTTATCAGTTGCATTTCCATTATTTGTTACTAAGTCCAAGTTAATGGTAAGCCATCTCTGTTTATTATCCCTAATAGAGGAGTCATACAAGGTGACCACTTGTCACCTTATTTATATATCCTATTGTCCAATGTTCTCTCTTTTATGATTGCTAGGCTTCAGAATTCTGGAAATCGGCATGGCATCAAAATCTATTAACGAGCCCAACCAATAACACAGCTTCTTTATGCTAATGACTCCCTTTTTTTCTCCAAAAGTAATTCTCTCAACTTTTTTCCTATCAGATTAATGTTAGGCATGTATGGATTATGGTCTGGAGGGTAATTCTCTCAACTTTTGTCGAAGACTAGCAATAATTGTTAATAGAGCTCTCCTTGCTAAATATGCTTAGAGAGTAATTACTTCGGAAGGTTCTTCTTTGCTGATCAACACTTTAAAAAATCAAGTACGTTAATCTAGATAGTCCATCCATCACTAAGCTTTCTTATAATTCATGTTAGTTATGGGAAGGCATTGTAGAGTATGCTAATATTATTATCGAGAAACTTAAATCAAAGATAGGAAGTAGGATAAGCATTTCTATTAATCACTACCCATGGTGGCCTATGCAACACAATGTGGCCCACATATTGCATTTACAATAAGTATTAGATCTATTATTTCATACCTTTCTTCATGGAATCTTGTATCTTCTCTCATTAAATAAGCTTACCTAAGCAATATTGCTCATCAGGTTCGCAGCTTAGCTATATTTATTTTCAATTCCTTGACTCTATCCTTCGGTCAAGAAATGTCTCAGGCCACTATCAAATGAAAGATGGGACAAATTTGCTTTGGCAAGAAGGCACAAACCTAATAAGCTCAAATACCTTCTAGAACATCCTTTAAAAATTACATCTTCCTCACCAACCACTCCTTTTTCTCTAAAAATAACTAGATAAAGCCTTTCCTTCAATTGATGTTTTGAGATAACACAACCTCAACACCTCTAGTCTTTATGTATTTGGTTGTGATGAAGATGAAACTTTGGTTCATAATTTTGTTAATTGTCATTTTGCAAGGGTTGTGTAGTTTAAGATGCTATCTATTAAGTTTTCTTTTGTTACTTATGATGACTTCCAAAATTGGGTTCATTCTATTCTGTCTAAGCTCTACTAGGATAGGCACATGGAAATCATCCTTTGGGTTGCATGCTTGCTCCACATGATGTGGAAAACTTGAAAGGAAATCCTACATCATGACTGAAAAGCGTTGCCATTATCCCAAATGCAGCAACCCATCAAACTCTGTTGATTTCCATCATGGCTCATTTAAAGATGTATGATGATATATCTTCTTCTAACAGCTTGCCTAGAATTAAGAATAAATTGCGATTCCATAATGATGAATAGATCATAATTTTGTTTAACTACAAAAGTCAATGACACCACTACTCTCATGGAGTAATATGCCATGAAGGAAAATGTTTGAAGGAATTTATTTGGAGAAACATAGGATTTCTGTAACATCTTGAATTTCAGGCCTACAAGTGCAAGAAATAGTTTAAAATAGGCAAGCTACAAGATTCCTTTTAGAAAGAGTCTCACAAATTCTCTAAAATGATAAAAGGATTATCAGGAACTAAATTACAAAAAAAAAAAGTTTTATGAGACCAAATGACAAGGAAATTAAAGGCTGTAGCGAAACAATGGAGGTTGAAAAAGAGGGATGAGGATGAACATGGGTTAAAAGTTATGCTAAAAATCTCAAAAAAATTATTCTTGAGGCTAAACCCTAGAAGAAACCTAATTATAATTTTTAAAAGTTTCAAGCTAGAAAGGATAATGACAGAAAGTATGTCCAAAAATTTCAAAAAAGTTTCAAAAAGTGGGAAATAAGGTTTTAAAGCCCATTTAAAGTTGAAAATGATGAAAATGCCCTAGAAATAAATTTTTAGTAAATTGGCTATTATGAAAATTTTAGCTGATTAAGAACAAATTAGTCGAAATTAATTATTTAAAATATGAGGAGCCCTCAAATAATTAGATTGAAATGGGAATTAATTATTTGAGAAATTATGTAAGATTGTAAAATTATTTTCAACACTTAAAAGTAAAGAGGTTAGCTTTAAAATAATTTAAAGCCAAATTTTATAGAAAGGGT